TGTTATGCCAGATGTTGAACGCCGGCTATCGTCAGTAAATGTCGGTACAAACAGAGATGATGGCAAGTTAAATTGCACAGTGTAGAAGGGTACAAGAAAGATGTTGAAGAATTTAAATGTTCTAGGGATTTTGTTTAGAAAGAGAGCTTACTGTTGCTGCGAAGGGCATGAAAGGTTTTGCAGTACCTTTTGATTCGATGTGAAAGATACTTAGCCTCTAATGATGAACATTCATACAGATATCAAGGAAAGGATGGCATGGTCCACTTCTTTGAAAGTTCCAGCATCAAGCTAAATCTTATCCAATTTTTCCTTCCAGAAAAACAAGTGAGAACTAGCACCATTTTATACAGGAATGTGGGTGCAGAAGTAGTTGTATATGTAGAATTGTAAAAGTCTAGTCACAGCTGTGACATAGTCATGTCTCAAAACTGGAGTGCATACCTTTGGTGTAAATTTATTTATCCCTCAGTGAATTACTGATAAGACCATTGTTGCTTCAGCCCTCAATCTAATTGCTGAATTTGCATTGCCATTAAATGATAGTTGTACATGTATATATAACAAATATACAAAAAAATGTATTTCTCTCTTAACAAATAGCTGGTTATAAAAGTACTTTAAATAAAGCTATAAAGGCATGAAACCAGGCATAAAATCTGTTCATTCCAATCACAACGTCACAAATTGGAAAATAAATGTTACTTTCAGAGTGAAAGATAAACTCTGCCTAAACTTACTTAAGCTGTAGCAGTAACTAAAGCGCTAACATAAAGTAGAAACTGGGTATGGCATTACCATTTTCTAGGTTTACCATTTTTACTTCACAACTTGTATGACCTTGATCTAATCCTCTAAGCACTGGTTTACATGGCATCTGAGATGAGTTCTGAGAGCTTTATGAAGTTAGCTTTGTGATATATAAAACCAGAAAAAGTGTTTTCTGCATGAGGTTGAAAACTCTGTTATGAGTCATGCTGTCACTTTGTAATGTTAATGTCTAAAAATGCTCTCTAAAATTGTAAGAGTACTTAGAAGTCAGCTTTACTGGAAGACTCCTTTTTATTACTGAACTGCTATCACCACCTTGTCCAGAATGCATCTAAGTCAAAGGAGCTTACGTAAGCCTGTCAGTCCCTACAGCCTCCTGCAGATGGGTACAGGTTAAAGTAACAAGGCTACATCAGAACCCTGAGGCCTTTAAAAAGGGCTGCATTTTTTAATAAAACCATTGACATTGGTTTTCATAAGGAATATAAATGACAGAAAATGGTTAGGATAGACAGATCCCTCTTTTAACATGAAGACAGGCTGAGAGAGCTGGATTGTTCAGGCTGGAGATAAAGAGGCTCTGGGAGAACTTAGAGCAGCTTCCAGTACCTAAAGGGAGCCTACAAGAAACCTGGTGAGGGACTTTTTACAAGGGCATGTAGTGACAGGATAAGGGAGAATGGCTTTAAACTGAGAGAAGGGCGATTTATATTGGACATTAGAAATAAATTTTTCCCTGTGCGGGTGGTGAGATGCTGGCACAGGATGCCCAGAGGTTGTGGCTGCCCCATCCCTGGAAATGTTCAAGGCAAGGCCAGGCTGGATGGCAGTTAGAACAATCTGATGTAGTCAAAGTGTCCCTGCCCATGGCAGAGGGCTTGGAACTTAGATTTTAAGAGACCTTAAGGTCTCTTCCAATACTAACCATTCTGTGATTTCATAAACTTAGGCTTTGTTATTATTTTAGCCTTCACAGTTAGAATCATAGAATCATAGAATAGTTAGGGTTGGAAAGGACCTTAAGATCATCAAGTTCCAACCCCCCTGCCATGGGCAGGGACACCTCGCTCTGAACTATATCACCCAAGGCCTCGTCCAACCTGGCCTTGAACCCTGCTAGGGAGGGAGCATTCACAACCTCCCTGGGCAACCTATTTCAGTGCCTCACCACCCTAACAGGAAAGAATTTCCTCTTTATATCCAATCTAAACTTCCCCTGTTTAAGTTTTAACACACTACCCCTTGTCCTATCACTACCGTCCCTAATGAAGAGTCCCTCCCCAGCATTCTTATAGGCCCCCTTCAGATACTGGAAGGCTGCTATGAGGTCTCCACGCAGTTGATTGCATGCAACACAAGTCGTTAAAATGTGTAAGCCAAATACGAATCTGAAATGTGTGTTCCATCACTTGTACTGTAATAGATGAATCAATGTGAAAAAATAAGTGAATTTATAACTATTAGGACAGAAACTGAAAATCAGGACTTTTACCATGAGCAAACAGAAGACATTCTTTCACAAATTGTCTGCAGTTTTGCACCCTTGGCTGTAGATTCTTTTTGAAAGGTTGAGAGGGGGATGTGTACCAAGAGAAGTTTTCTTGCAAGATGTTGGGTTTTTTTAATCAAAACCTCTTATGACCAGCTATCAGCCACAGCTTGTTAAACAAGTTACATAGTGCTGGCCCCTGTAAGAAGAAGAGAAATAAAGAAACAGGTTTCGCAAAAACTAAGTTTTGCAGAGGCAGCTGGTGAATCAGAATTCACTGTCTCTTGCTTAATCTCCTACTTCTCTGGAGCGCAAATATGTCAGTTTCCTCCACATGCTAGTTCTCTGTGATAAGCTCAAGGTATCCTGACCCTCAGTTATTTCAATTTCTGCCTTTCCTCACCTTCTGATATTATATAACCAGGTTATATTGTAAGCAAATTTAGGCTGATATAAATATGCCACCTCTCCAAAACAGACATCCAAGGAAACAAACTCTATAAACTTTTGAAGTTCATAGCCTAAATGGATGGTAGAGAAGACGTGAGATTAGAATTTAATAATTTATAATGATATTTAATGTGTGGCATAATAGCCTCAGCAATGTAAGGGAGCAGTTCTCATTGATACTAGCATATCCTACTTTCACAAGGTTTAGGGAAGAGGTACTAGTCCCAGAGGTTTTGAGTGTTAAGCAGTAATCTAATTTCTACATGTAAAGTTTTAAGAAATAAACATTTCTGCACAATCAAAACTTTCATGTTGCACTTCTTCAACAGCCATGCCTTGCCCTGTGGCTCCTGCCTTATTCTAACTTCTTACATATATTTCTACACATTTCAGAATTCATCTCAAACATTCTACATTTATCTGCTAGATGACATCTCTTGCCTGAATTTATAACGTATCTATTTCCTGAAACAATGCTTTGTCCAAAATAGTGATACCATTCAGTGATGCAACCATTCTGAAATACCTTCAGAGAGATTTAGATGTTTAGAATTCTTAACCTGTATTATTGTAACTTCATGCACAATCAGAGACTATAAAAATCTCTAATTTGCAACCTCACTGGTAAATAGTAAGTATCTGCAGCCAGGTCTGGTTTCTTCAAGTGGATAGAGCCTATGGTAGTTTATGACATTACAATTGAGATAGTAAATACAAGTTATTGCAAGCTAACACTTGTAGCTAGGCTAGTAACTAGCTAGTAGCCAACTAGTAGTAGCTAGTTGGCTAGTAGCTAGTTACTTTCAAGTAACAGAAAGGAGGCAATACAGAAAGTAATATTTTTAAAACACAACTTATATTTGAGATGAAGCTTCTGCTATTGTAATAGTTTTTTAATGTAAGTTATTTCTAATGCTTTTAATGTATACAAACTTTGGGAAAAATGACATATTAATTTTACCAATTATTGTATTTTAAACACTTTTCCTTAGTTTAAGCAGGACATACTGTTCATTTCAATGAAGTATTCAGATTTTGCATCTTCAGAGGGTAAATGCAGTTTATACATCACTGCTCCACTGTCCCAGTTAACTTTTATACTGACTATGCACGTTTTTTTAAAAACCATACCACCCGTTATAAAAATGTAAGAATAGAAAAAAGGAAATGATTGCAGTATCTAATAAAAGCAGTTAATCCTTTAAAACTTGTATGTGCTGTATGTAAGTGGATATTCACATCTTGCCTGGCTGTTAAGATAAAAAAAGACAACAGCCCAACTGTTAATTTTTGAAGTGTCAAACTTTGAAAAAGTTACTTAACTTCCAGCTTCAGTGAGATCTTAACATCTGTGGCAGGCAAGTGGTCAAAAATGCCTAATAATTCTGTTTTATTTTTCATGTTTAGCTGAACTATTGAAGATTTATCCCTGTGCAAAACATCCAAAGCATGTGCAATTTAAAAATAATCAAACACTATCACAGTAATCAATTGTACAAATACAAGTGAGGAACTCGTTAGATAGGAGTTTTAAAGGTTTAGGTGTATAAGCACAAGCTAGCAGTGACACCTCATTGTTACAAGAAGCATCATACAAAAAGATGGCAATGGAAAGGCAGTCTTTACCATGTGAATAGCTTGTTTTGTTCTCAGGTGGAGTTCTGTACCCCACTATAAATAATAGGCTTCATGAAAGTTATATATAGTCTTTGTAAAGAGGCCATTGAGCAACATAAGGATTATGGTTTCTACAGTCTAATTAGAAAAGATTTCCTTCACATAAGAAAGTTTTAAAATATTTCAGAGGTATCAAAGGCTACTGAAAAGAGGAAGAAAAAAGCCTCTAAATTTGTGTTGGGTTAGGATAAGAAATTGGTTTCACTTGCACCATGTCATGGAAGATTTAGTTGGACTGAACTTCCACAAGTTTCTCAGGAAAATTAAGTAGTCCTTCCTCTCAAAATAAGTAATAAAAGGCAGTTACCTCTCAGAAATAGCACAATTAATTCTGGAATATTTACAAAGAGGTGTGATTTTATTGTGCATTACAGATGGATTGAGGGAAAAACATTCAGTAGCAACTAGAACAAATTGTTAAGACCTGGATTTAAAATATGTAATTAGGAAAGCTGCAGAGTCATGTTATTAATTTTAGGGCAGTTTTTGTCTTTGTTTTCCGAACCTAAGCAAGGTCACACATTCAACTATGCTAACATTTGAAATGTACAGTCCATTGCTGTTTCATTTTAAGCTCTGAGTAAATAAAGCATGAAGTATTTAAACAAGTGTATTTTCTTTATATTAACTTTTATTATTTTATTATGTTTACACTTATGGAAAAATCTGCCACTTTAAAATACTAATTTAAAGTTATTGATTCTATAAATCACATGTGCTTGAAAGTACACAGTGCTGACAAACTTCAATGACATGTACATGAGAAAAGAAAACAGTTCAATTTTTAATTAGAAATACAACAGTACGTTACAATATACTGCAAGCTAGATGATTATTGCAAAACAGTATGCAGCACACAAGCAGTGTTTAACTTTCACAGGACTACATAAAATAACTCTTTCCAGACCTGAGTTCTTTATGCTGTTGGAGCTCTTTAACTAATGAAGCAGCAAATGGAAAAATGACTAGGCAAGTTGTACGCACTTAAGACATCCCGAGGATCAGCTAACTATTAACACTGACCTCAAGGAGTAAGTTGCAAATCGGGCCCATTTTCTGCCCATTGAAAAAAGCCACACTGTTTGTCCTTCCCAAGAGGGCATACAAAGAAGTTTTTTCCATTATTGGGACCAATCTTCAAGACAGTCTTCATAACAGATCGCTTGCCATGGTTACAAAATGGAAAATCCAAGTCAGCCCACTGCCAAAAGAAACAGGTTTAGGCACAGTTTTGGCATATAACTTGGCTATGAATTCCTTATTTTAAAATTGGCAATAGAAACAGATCTATGGGGGGAGGCCCTAGAGGAAACTCCTCCTAGTAGTTAAAGAAGTTTTGTCTCTTTTGCGATCATTGATTTTAGGTTTTTCTCTCAACTGCAACTGCACACACTAACTGGTTTAACTTTAAATGATGCTAACACACAGTTTTCTTCAAATAAAGGCATGATAGTCATTACTGTCTGGAGTTCATCTGGTGGGAGGTGACTGAGTCAAATTCTTCTCAGTCACATACGTTCAGAGCAAGGAGCAATGGCCACCAGTTGCAGCTAGGAAGGTCAGGTTAGGTACTAGTGCAGCAGTGGAAGCAGTTTCCCAGGCAGATTACAGAATCTTCATCCTTGGAGATTCAAGATTTTGGCTAGCCAGAAACGTGTCTGATTTCCATATCTAGAGTTTGCCATAGTCCTCCTTAAAGCAAGAGGATGATCTGAACAACTTGTACAAGTCCCTTCAAACCAACATTTCTGCTATGCATCTATTTTACATCACTTGGAAGCAGACAAAGAACATTTGGACAAGCAGGGGCCATCTTAGCAGTAAGAGAAGTAACTAAAACTATAAATTTGTAATTGCTATTATGCTTTTAGCTTCAATTCATTGTGCAAAAGTATTTAAAATTACCTCAAACTTTAAATGGATCACATCTGTCCACAAATACAAATCACTGGGGCAAGTAGGCTGCAGAACAATTGCTTATTGGAAAACAGGCCCTGCAGTCTTATACATACCTGAAAATAGTCACACTGAGTTTCCCTCGGTAGAGGACAGGTATAAAACTGCCTGCCCTTGTTTTCTCCCTCCTTTCTCACAACTCTGAGGCTGCAGAGCCGGCTGTGTTTGCTGCAGCGAGGATGGCCTGCACTGAACATACAAATATCACCTGTCAGATTAGCTTGAGGTATGCTGTAATGGTAGGTTACAAAATGACACCTGCATAATGTTAAAGGTATTACAAGCCAAAGAAACCTCTCTTACCATTACAATAGTTCACTCAGTGTTCTTTTGCAGACAATGACAGTCAGAAAACTTACTTCTCTAATGCACTCTATTGCACCTTTAAAGCTGAATGATCGCTAGTAGCGAAGACAAGACTGTGTGCTTTTGTTGCAGATATTACACCAGTTTTCCCCAGCATTAGCCCTTGTTTTGAATAATTTTAAAGTAATATACAAAACAAAATATTGCTACAGCTATTATAGTGCCCAATCCAAATTCTGACATATTCCAAGAGTATCCTGCTGTCAGAGGGGGAAAAGACCAATACAAAGTAGCTACTCCAGGTAGTCCAGAAGACTCCCACTCTTCTTACTAAAATATTACAGTAATGCTCCAAATCATACTCAGACAAGAAGTAATCCACCTGAGGCAGGGTGGAAGGATGATCTTTGAATGGGATAAAGTTTCTTTCTTTCTTCGCCATGATTGAGATAGTCAGAGATTATCTGAACGCAATAAACAAGGCTTTATTTAAAAAGAGTAACATAAAAAATCCAGTTACATGATAGTCTGAAATGTATATTTCCAATGTGTGCATATAGCAGAGAGGCCTGGAGGGTGAGGGGGATAAATAATTTATTCTGGTTAAGTTACCAACTTAGGAATTTCATGTTCTTTTACGTCTGGCAGATTGCAGTCCTGCAGACATCAGTAGTTTTCTTCCAACACCTCACTGAAGCAAAAGAAAAAAAACCCAAGACTGTTTTGGATTTTGTTACAAGTGTTTGGTTTTGGTGTGGATTTTCTTAATTTTTGTTTTGCTTGTTTGCTTAGTTTTTTGTTTGTATTTTTTTAATGTTTAAGCGATGAGTTGCTTTAACTGTTACCATGATTGATACACTCTCGTCTCTTTTTTGCACTCCTCTGTCTTCTCCGTTATCCTGCCCACCTCCTCAGTTCTCTGTAATTGTCTGCTGCAGCAAGGAGAAAGTATATTCACACAGCCTAACCTGGCTAGCCACTGGGATTCTTTTTCAAATCTGGTGCTTCAACAATGCAAGGAATAATTTATGTATTTTAGAACAGACACATCACCAAGAAGTTTGTAGCATACTGTTAATATTTCACACTCACCCTGCACAATGTACCACTAAGTGACATCTATCTTGCAGTCCCATTGCTGTTGTGTATGTCTGCTCGACTTTCTGACAACCCTAATAGTTTCTCACGCTTCTCTTAACAAGGCAATGGATGTGTCTGAATAGGGCTGTGTAAACACAAATTCAGGATGGGTAGAGCATTGAAGTAGTTGCATATAGAATGGGAGGGAATGTTAAGAGAAAATAGTGATGGGAGGTTCATTAAGGTACCTGAATAGTTTCATACCATGGGAAGAATTCTGAGAACTGCTAGTTGACTTTAATTGGAATATATTCATTCAGCTACTTTCCTTTTGTCATCTTTCATGATGATTTCAATGATCTCTCTAAGCAGATAGCAACTATAGTGCTAAGATCAGACAACTCTTTATGTAGAACTTGACCTATTAGAGCTATACTGCCCTATCCCATAGGAATAGCTGAACTATGAACAGCTGTTTAGTTAAGAGCAGTACTGGCCCAGTGACAAAATTGGGACTTTTCTAATGACAGCCTAAGTCATTCAGTGCTTTTGAAATATGTAATTTTAGTTTCCCAAGAATAATGTACTGCTGGCAGAAATCCCAAAACAGTGTCTGAACCCAAAAGCATAGTATTCCAATAATCTTCAGGGATAAAGTTGATCTTTGGAATTATAAAAAGACTTGTTTACATTTTAGGATACATACCTTATTGCTTTATTATATTGGTGAACTGAGGGTATATGATCAGTTTTCTGTTTCTTCTGTACATGTGTGAAAGAGAGAGGTTGCTGACAGGAGGACAAAGCCATAGCAGTTACAGGTGTTGGGCAATGCTTGGCTGTGCTTCCCCATGACTGGTAGACATTGTTTTGTGTGTGTCTACAATTACTTTTTGTAGCAACACACTGAGAGTGTCCATCGGATATTTGGGTATCATTTCTCAAATCCTCTTTGTTACCAAGATCTGTTAAGACAAGAGTTGTAGTTCCAAATGCTGCTTTCCTATTGATCTTTATTTCTGTGCTGGGTTTTCTGAATTCATTACAAGGGTACTTCACTAAGTTTATGTTAAAGGCTGCAGAATCTTCAATATTCTCTGTCTTTGGAACTAAGGGAAAAGAAGTTATTGGTTATAATTCATCTGTATAGTGATACATCCTATTTCTGATCTGTAGTCAGAAGTCATCATACAGAGAGTGAAAGAGTAAATTTACCATACCATCTAGAAAGATGTCAAAACCTGTCACAGATTGGATGTAGTATCAAATTTCTTACAGTAACAAAAGCTCATACACTTTTGGAGTCACATACAGCATGTGTTTCCAGATAACATTACTGTTGTTCAAATAAGACCAGATGTGAATAGTAAAGCTGTTGGAGAGTTAACCATACAAAGTTGAATTTGACCTAATTACAGGTATTAAAATATTTAAATTTTCCAAAATAACCTTTTATAACCCTAGCACTGGAAGATGGCAGGGTATGGTATCTCCCAGGAGCAATACATTACCTAAAGTATTGTTTTACTGTTAACACAAAAAGGAGCAAAAAGGATTAATTTGTTGGGTTTTCTAGTGCTTTCAGGGCTCACATCCTTTCCAAACATTGCACACATCCAAACTTGCTGATCCCTTACTCTAAGAGGCTTTAGAAGCAAGCAGTTTAGACATTTACTTTGCATTTATTTTCTGACGTGAACAGTGCGTTTCTTCACAGAATGAGAGGCCTGTCTAGTGGGCAATAATCATTCCAAAAGAGTGGTCAGAATTTATTAATCCCAGCTCAATAAATAAGGAGTCTGTAGGTTATCTTTCTTGAAAAAAGGGTGAAAAGAAACTTTTACGGGGTCCCTGTGTGCAATCTTTGTAAAGTAGCTGTGAAATCATATTGTTCAAGAATGAAGTCCTTTCTTTTCTACCATCTCCAGCAAGTGTCTCACTCCTACATCTTCCGTCCATACAAGGAAGAGGGAATAAAGCAGAAGAAAAATGTGTAGGTAAGGCGTACACAAGGGCATGCTTTCTCTAAAGGCATTCTCCGTCAGAAACAAATAGGAATCCTTACAGTTTAATTTAAACGCTTCTTAGAAACTGAATTATTTTGGCTCTAAGGCCAGTAGCTAACTTTACATACCAAGTATTCTGTCCTCAAAAATTTAACCTTTAATGCTGACAATAGTTTAGAAACAACGTAAAATACAAAAAAAAATAATAAAGTAAGAAGGCAATGAATCCTAAAGTTTGAGAAGAGAGAGATAAACAAAACTGTTAAAAACAATCTCAAATACCTCTCCTATGATTCAAAAATGATACTTTAAAAAAAAAAAAAAAAAAAGAAATTTCATAACAGTATTCCACCAAGTCTAACATGTGTTCAAATTCCAGGCCTCTCTGCAGCATTGGCACATAGCTACACAGCTGAAACTTAGAAGTGCCAGAGAAGGAACAGGATTTTGTTACAAAGCTTAAAATAAAGCATTTGTACGCATGCCATTATGTATTTTAAGGTCCAGCTGACACTATTAATTCCAGGATAAATGTTAGTTGGTAAATCTGAGTCTGTGGACAGATTAAAACTTTCAGGTTTCTGGCACTGATTTTGCAGAAGAATTATGCAAGATTAGCCTCTGCTGGCAAGAACTGTCATGCAAGTCATGGAGACATACTTTTGTTGATTCCTGGCATAAAGAAATGGACTTCAGCTAGTGTAAGAGAAGAGTTTCACACACTACATTCATAAAATCAATAACTTGAATGAAGTAATAATTTAGAAAAAAAAACCAAAACATTAAAACTTTCAAGAACCCAAATTAGTACCATAAAGTCACTTCTTCAGCAGCCGGGAACTTGGAGGCACTTTGGAAAGTATGGCTCAATTAAAGATCAATATGACATTCAATTCTGATTTCAGCATCTATACTTTCAAGTCATAGTTTAATGGAGTAAACTTTTAACAATAGGTCCTGAAGCCCACATAAAACCACTAATTCTTCTCAGATACAAAATGCCTCTATATTGGTTACAAGTATCTTTTCTTTGAATTTCGTAGCACCAGAGATAGAAAAATTAAGAACTAAATTGTAGTATGCAAATTTCAGCCGCTTACTGAATAATCCACTAAATGTGAAATAAGTTTTTGAGGTAGAAAAGCTTCATTATGGAATTGTTATAGAATTAGCTTTATCCCTGAAAGCCACACACATGCGCACCTCTAGGCTTTGTTTCCTGGAACGCATGTAGCAATTAAATATGTATTTCTACAGAAAGTGCAAAATACAAAGCTCCTCTTCACAGAGAAAACAGGTCTCAGTAGGAAGTGTGTCCATAACCTCACTTATCCCTTCTTAGTATCTGAAACTTCAATAACAGAAATCTGGATTGAAGTCAGCATGTTATTCATTCCATCTTTCTGCCCATTTCTGGGTCTCATTCATAGCTGCTTCTGTCCACCAGATCTAGATAGCAGCATTAAAAGCTCCAGCAAGAGAGAAACAACAAATTTAGGTAAGAAGTCCCAAATCATCGTTACTCTGAACTTGGAGCCAAAAGCCTAGCTCCTGAGAAACCTGACATCCTTTTGGAAAGGGTACCAAAATACGCTGCTTTTGTCCACATGACAGAATGATAATTGCTTTTCTGCCTCTGGGGATTTCTCTGCAATATGCTGCAATCTTCTAATGAATTTAAGTAGAGCTGAGAGAATGGAGTTTTGTCTCACTCTTTGCCCCTGAAAAAAAAAAGTGTCACTGCAGAGGCTTTTCTGTAGAGTCCCACCTGAACACAAAGTGGGAAGACAAGCCTCTTTTAGGCTTTAAGAAAAGAGGTTTTCCATGATTGTCTGTGTAATATTTCCCCAAAATCCAAATTTAGGTTATCTAATTACTTAAATAGATTCACAATAAGACACTTCTACAGTTCTAAAAACTGCATCAAAACCAAATCCTCCCCCTTTTCCAGTATAAATTCCAGACAACCTTTCAATACCTTCAGGCCTTGAAGTCAAACAGGCATCACAGATTTCAGCAGAAGGCTTGTTTATTAGGGTACAGTGCATGCACGTCCATTCCTCTTCAGACTTCCAAGCTACATCTTCATTAGAACATGACCCTCTGCCATATGCCCAGCCAATTAGGCTATTTCTATTTGGCAATTTGCTGTAAAACAAAAGAACGATGTTAGTCTTTTGTGACATTTCTTCTACAAATTGTCTTGTACCACTATGTGCAGGGAGGCACAGGGCTGGAGAACAACTAATACACAGTGTTATGCCTGCCTATCATAGCTTGGACAGCATGCCACGGTTAGAGTTTGATTTTTTTTTTTCTTCTTTACCTCAAGGGCAAATCTTTCCCAATGCTGCCTTACTAAATACAAATATTTAAATCATAAAATCATAGAATGGTTAGGGTTGGAAGAACTGTTTCAGTACATTTCTCCCAGCCCTTGTATAAAATACTTATGAACAAATGCGTTATTGGACAAAGAACCGTTCAGAAGCTAAACTACAGAAAGTCACACAACCTAACAAACAAATTGTTTTGCCCTCATTTAAATGGTGTCCATTAGACCACTTTGTTATTGTAACAGCCAACAGAACTTAAAACCTTAAAAGTTAGAAAGTCTAGAAAGTCTTTCTTGTGTATCACCATTTGCTAGAAAACCTTTCAACATGCAGGTTTCTGCTCAGAATAAAGTATTTTCTTTTTTGTTGTCGGTGGTGGTGGTTTTGTGGAGTTTTTAGTCCTGATCAGAAAGAGGTCGGGAATGTCCTAGCTGTGACTGGTAAGCCAAATCTGTACTTCAGACACTCCTACAGATTTAATTTTATTAATTTCCCTGTTAATTATAATACATCCTATGGCGATACACTGATATACAATCATAGTTACTATTTTACAGTCGCTCCATTTTGTCATAGTATCCAAATATCGTTAGCACAGTAAATTTAACTTGAACTTACCAGTTAAGGAAGATATACGTAAGCTTTTAAATACTATGGTTGATAAGTTTTTATGGAATTATGCATTTTGGGGGGGCTTTTTTCTAATTCTAAGAATTTAAGCACTTAATAATGCAAATGCCGTACTTTGGAACTGTTGTGATACAACTTAGACCCTTAACAGCCTACATTTTCTAAGATAATGGGAGGGATATCCACTATTTACTACGTATCTTGCATAACAGGAAAACTAAAGAGGGTAATGAGAACTGCTGACATACCGGAGATGCTATGCTGTCAAGAGGTAAGGCAGACATTACAGTATCATTCACCAAAATACTGTGGCTAGATAACAAAACAGCTGAACTGGAAGTGTGAAAAATGGGTATTTTTACATTATTAGATCAGATGTTATATTCAGCTACCAAAAACGTATTACTATACTGAATATGTTCAGCATGTCATCCTCCCAGTGTGACCAGTGTCATTCTGCCACCCTTCTCCCCATTTTGGAACATGAAATATGGGGTGTGTGATGTTTTTAAGAGTCAAGGTACATTTGGATTTGATGAGGTATAAGCTTATAATGAGCATTTTCTTCATTTTTTTTCAGTTGAGAAAAATTACAAGCTACTTGATTTTATCCAAGAACCATTGGGTTAAATTCTACACTATATGATCTGTAGCAAGTCAGTTTGATCACACAGGTTCCTTTCAGCCTTCAAACATGAAAAAGCTTGAAATGGCAGATAAACCAGTGGAGCTACACGTACTTTTATTTGGTAACAGTTACTGCATAAGAGAAGATAGAGCAGTACATAGAACACAAAGCACTTACCATTAGGATGAGAACAGCACAAGAAACAACCTTTTCACTTTATAGCTACCATTGTTAAGTTTCTCAATGAAGTACACCACTGTTTAATTATTTGTTAAACAAAACCCAAAAGAAACACTACTACCACAAACAACAAAAACCCAAACTACTTCTTGTTCTAGAACAGAGAAAGAGATCTTTTTTTAACACATCATTTTCTAGTTATTTGATTCAACAGAACACTGCTGTCTTCCCACCCTTCTGCAAAACATTGTTCATTGGGGCTATCAGCATGTGAAATATTTATCTCCCATGCTGGCATTTTCTACAATTGATCTATACTCAAAGGTGATTTTTAAGCTTTAACCAAAATTCCTTCAGCCATCTGAATCTTCAAAGTAGGCTGGAGGTGGCAGAGGGATTTGTGTGTTCTGTAAATCTTATCTAATATATATACACACAGACACACACAGCTTGCAAAGCAAAGCAATGGCTTTTATTAGATTGACAAAGCTCAGTGTAAAAAGGCAAGATTCTGAAACCTCAGATGAAAATTTTCAAGAATAACTTGGGTATAAGAGTCCCAATAAGGTGCTTTTGGAACTTTTACCTTCTGACCCTTTATGATATCAAATATATTTTGTGCACTCCTAAAATAAATGAAGGAAATCTGCTGCTAGTACAACTTATGTGGAACTGAAAGTGTCCCTGTAGTAAAAAGCTTTCCAAATACAATAAAGACGAAAAAAAACCACCCAAAAAGTCCTAAGCCCTACAATATTTGCTGCACTCTGAATTTACTAAAGTTTTAGTTATCCTCGTCCAGAACAAAATTCCACAGATGCACAGCTATCTAGATATTCGAGGACTGAAGAGGCTATCCTATGAAAATAGAGACAAAAAATATCCCACCTTATGCCATTCAACTCAGTTGTGCATAAGCATCCAAGCTTATTATATTGATAACACCAAGAAAATGGGCAGTTTTTCCAGCAGCAATGAGTAATTCTGAGTACTCTGAATTGTTTTTTTATTCTTATATTCAAATAATAACCATTTAATAACAGATGTGCCCTTTGAAAGGAAAAGTATTAAAGAATCGAAGCTTTTAACCATTTCTAAATGACAATGGGCAAAACATTTTTCTTTCGTAAAGTCAAGGAAATCAGAAATAAAATACACAAGGACCTATTCTAGTTGAGAAGTGATAAACACACTTGGAGGTGCTTAAGCATTTGGTGCTTAAAAGTACTACAAAGTTACCATCATACCTTAGATTGACAAGCTGAGGATCTGCGTTTTGACATCCAGAGCAGAAGCAAGTCATCCTGTTATACTCTCCTAAACGACACACAGTGATCTTACCATTGCACTGAGCACAGGCTGGGCGCTTGTATACTTTGTAGTGTTTGTAGAGTGGAGACCCTGTTTTGCGGCACTAAAACAGAACATGTTTAAAACCCAAGTTAGAGGTCAAATATAAATTTGATGTCAGTCCTTCTACAGTTCAACTGAAGCTAAACTAAAAAAAAAAAAAACAACAAAACCAACCCAGAAACAAGTAAACTGACAGCTTAATGACTACGTAAAGATATTTAAGGCATATTCACAATGGCTATCATATTCTTTTACGAAGAGTTTACTTTAAATCAGGTATAAAACTGACTGGAATTCTCCACATAATGGATTAAAAGACAGAACACAAAAAAAACCCCACAGAATAGAAAACAAATACACGCTAGGGACTCCCTGTCTTCAGCTGGACCAGCTAGCTTGATTTAGCAGAAGGCATCTTTGACCTGGCACCTGCAGGAGCGTTCTTAAGGAGCTGATAAGCTCTAGCCAATGCAGCATAAAAAACAAAATTAAACCAAACATAAGCCACAAAACTAACACCACCTTCCCTTGTTTGAAAAAGAGCCAAAACCACACCACAGAGCCAGCTCAAACCTGATGTGACAATCTGGGTTGAACAGCCTTCCCAAAACCTAAAGAACTGCACAATGCAGGAATACTGCATTTCTGCAGTATTTCTGCAGGAGTTGGGTAGCACCCAGTAAAGTTGCTCAGCTTCAGCCTTAGCCCTGGCCATACCAGACAAGTTAGCTCATAAGAAGCCACTTGGCACTATAGAAAGCTCCCCAGATCCTGGAAGAAAATTATATTGAATTCTGTACAGTACAAGCCCAAAGGGCACAGTGACCTAGACAGCCTCCAGAGGGCTGACAAGCAGGTACACTTCATGACAAAACTCACATGGCATCAGCATAAACATACCTCAGCTCAAACTGGCAGAAAAACAATAAAAACAAAACCAAACAAGAAAAGCCCACTTGAGCTACAGTCAACTCTGCAGAGCCACACCAGTTTCTGCACTACACCTGAAGTTCAAACGATACTACAGCTGGCCCAGCAATACCAGCCCAGCTCTGGCAGGGCTCAATGACTCTAGCTCCATGATGCACAATGACCCCTGAGTTCTCCCCAGATACAGGAGTCTTTGAGCACAGCATATTTGCTTCTGCTGTGCTCTTGAGTAAGCCTCACTGAATGAGAAAGCCTTCACCGGTACAACCTAGTAATTCAACTAGAAGGAATTACTAACATATATTTACATTAATATTCACAAGCCATTTGCTTTCTCAAGGTTTACAGTTAGTTTCTTATTAGTAGTTTTCTCCCATCCAGTTATTTAAAAACCAAACAAAAGCAACAGCTTTTTACATAAACAAGATTCCTCAGCTCTGTAAGGTGTTACTACAAACAATATAGTAGGATTATACATTCTGTAATAGTCTATAAAAAATGATCAAGCACTACCCCTTGTATTAACCTATTTTCAATGGGTCTATCTTAAGAAGACTTGATGTAGGGGTGATGACTATCTATCCTTTAAAAGCACTTGACTGGTGAATACTTGCTAAATATAGATTATAAAAGTTTTGAAAATGGCTAATCTGAGCTATGGAAAGTTTAATGTGTTTGTTTACTGTCAGTCTAAAAGACTGTTGACACATTTAAATTTCCTAGTACTATAGTTGTTGCAGAATGCTATCTCTTCACTGTCAGACTTCAGTGAAGCCTGGAGAACAAAAAGATGTGCCTAGCCAACAGACTAAACTACTCTTCAGTAGGTTGAGGGAAAGCAGACGTTTAAGCAGACTATTAAACAAGTTATGTGTTTAGCCTTTATGATTGAAAGATGGTATTAAGGAAGTCAGGTGCCCTCCTTCTAGCCTATCAAAAGAAAGAATTTTTAGCAGCACTAGCTCTTTGCCTTTCATAAGTACCAAGATAAATAGATACAAATTTCATTGCTCCTTTTCATTTTTCTGCATGCAGCTTAAAGAAGAAAAATATACAAGAATTCTGTCAAATTCTCCCTCCTATTTTGGAAAGTAAAGAGCAACCAGGATGGAAGAAATTAAATCCTACTGAAGTTGTGGCAGTAGGGAGAAGCTGGAATTTATTTTACTTTAGCAATCAGAAACATTGCTTCAGTTAAGAAAAAAAAAAAAGTTGTTGAAAGTTACAATCTGTTCACTCAAATAAATATACTTGCTATTGCAAGTGGCAAACTCTAGTTCCCGGTTTGAAGAGTGACCTTTATGTTCTCTTACTTGTGTTTGCTTAACCTACAGCAAGTCTGACATGTTGAGAGCTGCATTACAGCACATGCACAGTGAAACTGAACTGGCCCTTAGGCGGAATCTGTCAAACTGTTCTGTTGCAACTGGGCCAAGCTATGCACATTCTTACAGCCTAGATTCCCTTACCTTTCCATCATTTGACAATTCACAATTAATAAAGAACACACAAACTAACATTCCTATTTATGGGAACACTTGTCCTGTTGCATTTTATGACTATTTTCACTAGTTGACCACATACAGCTAACATGCTGGAGTCAAGTTTTGGAGGTCCCTCAGAAACATGTGCCAATACCTTATAAAAAAACAGGGTAAAATCACGTGTCATTTTCACCAAATGATGTATATGCTCATCTGTCAATTGGCAAACCTGTAAGTAAGACAAAAATGATTTTTACAATATTAGAATGCCAAGGGACAACAGCAGAAAGACCTGTAATGCGGGGGTACCTCAAACACCTTCAGCTTATGTGGAACAACTGCATTGCCTCCTGTTATGGTAATTCTTTGACTTCACATTGATATATAACATCTCAGTAAAAAAGTATTTTTTGACATTCTATACTATACAAACTACTCATTATGTAAATACCAAGCAACGTACTTTAGCTCACGCTTTGTGACACAAAAGTTAAATAAGTTTCAGTTGTCTTTGTCTATAATGACCTAAGAGTATCCGATCACAAGAATCATGTGAAATTAACTCTTAGTTGCCTCTTAATTTACTCGTGGATTATGCTACAAGCTGTCTATCATAAGAAGCTCTTTACTGCAAAAAATCTTCAGGAAAAATACTTGAGCCAAAGGCATCACAATTAGATATATCAACCCGGTTTTTGTTAAGGAATCACATTTTCCTTTCCTTTGTTCCCATTGCAGACACAATTAAAATCCTGACTGAGCCTATGAAAAGCTTTCAAAATATTATGTATATAAAGCCTTCCAGTTACTATCTTCACCAGCTTTTCTTTATGTACTATGTAATGTCAATCCATTTTGTAAACACTGGGCTTCTTTTCAACCAAACTTTGGAGATCGATGTTTGAGGATCTTAATCAAGAAAGAATGTTAAACAGTGGTAGAAAAGTAAATTATGCCAGCTAGCAAGACAGGAAGTGGAAGAAACAGCAGCAAAACCAATCAACTCTACCACATAAACTGTTCTGCCTAGCAGCTGAACAAAGAAAACCAAGACACTTTTCACTTTATTTATAGGCTGACAATTTAATGATGGCAAAACAGGATGCCAGACAAAGTCAGGATTTTAAGGTTAAATTAATTCCCTGCTAAGGAGCCCCACAAAATATGCCCACTCTGTGAAGCATGAGTAGCAGCAACAGTTTCCAAGGAACGCCACTGCAAATGTCTCCAGTTATAATGATAAAATGTTAATTTAATGTCTTAGAATAACTTGAGAAATGACAGATCATAAAACCAAGGTAAGAATATGACAAAATGTTACATAAATATGTACATTCTTAATACTTTGGTGTCATTAAAACCAATTCTGTGACATTTCACCCACCTTAACAGCTGGATGAAGACCACTGTCAAACAGTGCTTCATTTTTTATTATATTTCCCACTCCAGGTAATACTGCTTGATCCAGTAACACATCACACAACATGAGGGTTTTGTGCCGCTTAATCTCACTTTCTGCTCTTAGGAAACTAAATTTTGGAGAACAGACATCTAAGCTTTCCATCATTCTCACTTTCCGCTCACTCTCAGCTGCATTTCTGGAAGAGAATCATAGAATCATAGAATGATTTGGGTTGGAAAGGACCTTGAGATCATCTAGTTCCAGCCCCCTGCCGTAGTCACACCAGACCATGTCACCCAAGGCTCTGTCCCACCTGGCCTTGAACACCGCCAGGGATGGAGCATTCACCACTTCTTTGGGCAGCCTCTGCCAGTGCCTCACCATCAGTAAAGAACTTCTTGCTTACATGTAACCTGACCTTCCCCTGTTTCAGTTTTAACTCGCTACCCCTTGTCCTATCACTACAGTCCCTAATGAAGAGTCCCTCTTTGCCATCTTTATAGGCCCCCTTCAGATACTGAAAGGATGCTCTGAGGTCTCCACACAGCTTCTCTTCTCCAGGCTGAACAGCAATACATTAAGATTTATTTTTATTACAATTATATGCTAACATAGCAGTATGATTTTAAAAACAACACATGAAAGTATAATAGAACATTATATGCAGATAACAGAAATCTTGCAAATACCAGTGACAGGAAGAGGCACAGAAATTACATTAACCACCCCTCCCAGAAACAGGTAAGTGATGCATGCAAGGAACATGCATCTGATCCAACATACAAGAAAACACCCTCATTTTGTTCATGTTAGTTTGAAAAATAATTGCCAGATCCTTTTTTTAAAACTACTACCAACATGGAAAGACTATGCATTTGGACCATCAAATATAACTAACTGTATGTTTAAATGGTCCAATATTTACTAGAAGACAATAAAAGGTAATAGTTTCATAAACCTTAACTCCATCGGGTTACATAGTCACTTGAAAATAGTACAGTACAAGAAGTCTCAGGCTTACATAAGCTTTTCTTTTGTAATATTAAATATGCATATATATGATACTTGAATTTACATGCTCCTTTTCGCCAAAGAGCCTCAAATGCTTTAAAATCAAACTTGCTATTATTTTTATTAGCAGTGAGCAGTACCAATGCTGATGGTCAAAAACATGTACTTAATGTAAATTAGAACAATTATATCAATTTGCTTCCAAAAAGAAAGCAAACATAAACACACACCCTTGGGAGCATAAAATCTGAAACAAGTAATCATCAAAGGTCCTTATTCTTGTTCAGGAATTGAGACTTGCATGGAAATTAAAGGAGCAATGGGGGCTCAGCATTCAGATCCAAGAACAGACTTATGCGCAGTCTTGATGCTATTGCATAGAAATACTTTAATTGTATGTAAATTCTGATGCAAAAGTAGCAAAATTAAATTACCATACCCATATTTAGAAACCTTTGTTTCTTTGTTTCGATGATGGTATCTGAGCACTAAATTTGTGTGTGATTTTTCTCTGTTCTTAAAAGAATGTCATACAAATAAACCAAGCAGTGTCTAATTTGGTTAGTTTCTGCTTTACCTATACTCTACTGTCACCTCGAAAAAACAAACAGTATCTTCTGTAAGCTGTATCTCCAAAACTGGTAGTGCTGCGTTTCTGCCTTTGCTTCCACTGGGATTAATGCACATGGAACCGTTCATACCGAAGTGAATCCTTGGAGAGAAAAGAGTGTTCTTACAGGTATTTTATCTTCACAATGTTTCCAAGCATCACACGAGGGTATGTTTGAACTTATAAACTGTTCTTACCTAACCAAGTCAGTATGTATGTACATTAATTCTAGCCATTGAGAGTAACATGGCAACAAACTATTTGCTTACATAATGCTTGATTCCCAGAGAAAAATCTCCCCAAGTCAAAACTACTCCAAAACATAGCAGTTTTCCAGTGGTCTTCAAAATTCACTAAACAAAAGCCAAAACTGATCATTAAGTAACATGCTTTTCTGGTGTATCACACTTAGATTTTTTTTCCACTTGACATGCTGGTCTTTCCAACACAGGTTCCTAAGTCTCCAGAGAGGCTGAAGAAAATTAGGCTACTTTACCAGAAAATTTTCTGTTAAATCAGGCAGAAGCTACCTGGTATGAAAGGAAAGATTTCAGTCCCTGTATTGCCAACACTTTTATCATATCAAATCTACTTCCAATAACACCATAAACAAAGTAATTATCATCTGCCATATGTTGTTTTCCGCTTTTCTTTGCCTACAACCAAGGCAAAACCTGCAGGTCAATTAAAAATTAATATAAGAAAGAAACTGAAAAACGCCCAGAGGGCAAAGGACTGGAACAGACTCTTTCAAGCATTCTTTCTACTGGTCACTAATGCTTTAAAAGGGCTTACATTTTACGATATATCCTACTAGGAGCTAGTATATGTGAACAAAGGACAAGTTTGACTATGTTCTCATGCATTTTATTTATTACAGATTCACCTGTTACACTCAAGCCATAAAAAAAACTGTAAGAGAGATTGTCTTACTTGTATACATAGTGTATCAGAAAATAAGGATTATTTTGTAGCAACAAAAAGGTGTAACAGATTTAGAAAGATTAGAATTATGTTGCAAGTAGAAGGGCAAAAGAAAATCCTTAAATGGAAGTCTTAGCTATTAAATATGAGTCTTACTTATGTATTCTGTACTAATTACCATAAGGAATGAGAAGGGATTTTTTTTCACAATCTACTATACTGTGCATTTGTTTAGATTTATGTTTAGTTGACTTTGCATTACAGAAGCATATTGAAATAGAAAAAGGTAATCTAGATGATTCCAAGTACAACCCTGGTGGCTAGTACAACATGTCCAAGGGCTTAAAGCATAGAACAAAATCCTAAACATGTCAACAAACTCGTTATAAGCTCTGCAAAGTATAAGCAAACAATGATTTGGCAGTTTTTACCATTTGTCTAGGAGACAGCTTCACAAAAAAAGTCAAGGCACACTTATGTTACCAAAACCATTCATCTGCCAAATTTCAAACAGTTCCAAACCAAGGAAATGTTAATATTGTTGAAAGAAAGCAAGCAAGAAAGCAAGCATAAATGTATACATACTGAATACTAAGTTGGTTTTGTTTTTTCTATTTCCACATTAGTTTATTAATGATTCAGTTGCTCTGATAAATGTTGAGTACAGAATTTAAGCCTAAATTTCTTAAGGAAAGTTTAAAAGACTTGCAAGTAGAGTTTGTAGCGGAAGACATTAACTAACTGTTACTTCATGCACTTCTCTGAGTTTTGCCCTTAGAAAATGCAATTTCCTGCTTGAAACAAAGCATTTTGGGGATTAACTGTCCTTTTCAGACACTGTTACATGGCATTTTAGGCTAAGAATAAAGTAGAAGATTATCCGAAAATGTAAGTGGCTATATCCATTATTTCCAGCATTACAAGAGAGAAGATTGCAGGTAAGTTTCTTGATAACACTAATTTTCAAATCTGAAAGTGACTTTAGCAAGAAAAAGATGACCCATGAACACATACAGTCTGAATACATAGGAAGTTTTTTTCTCTCCTCTTACCTCAAAGCTTTCTGATCAAAATACATAAAAAGTTCCTTTCCCAATGTCTCCACACCCCTGTAAACATGTCCAATGAGGAAATCATGACCAGAGGTTCCCTCCTTGCTTGCAGCAGTCTAAAAATGAATACACACAGAGATTAAAACAGAATTTATACTGCTTTGATTCTAGCATTAGTACACATTCACCAAATAGCTGATTTTTCCACCTTGAACAACATTAGACCTTTTCTCCTCAAGCAGCTCTACCAAAACCCGTGAGACTGTTAACCCAGGAAAGAGTCACTATTGTTCATACTATCCCAACTCAGCTCCTTCTCTTCTAAATTGCAACAATACATCTTTTTATCAGTGAATTTTATGCCTTCTCCTTCAAGTAATGAATTAACAAGAAGACTTTAAGGCTGATGCAAATTAAAAAGGTACAGTTCAAACACTAGTTGTATCAGTTCTGCCATTTGCAGGCCTACATCTTCCAAATGCCTCCTGCTGGAGTTTCTACCCATGCTAATATGCTTTTAGTGTTTCACATGGCGCAATACATATTACAGAAAAGCTACCGCTGAGCTGACAGAGATAGTTCTCTCTTCCTACTAAAGTCTAACCTCAGATGATGATGAACAAGAGGTGGGATGCTACAAGAAGACAAGAAAAAGATAATTGTGAGATGGAAACAATGATCTTTTCTTGCTTAGCACATGAAACTCCACTGAAACCATAAGAAGGGACCACTATTGATTATCTTGTCCAAGCACTGGGGGCTCAAAGCAGGACTTTCTTACGTCAGGCAGTCTTGGGTCAACTTCAGAGTGGCTCTAGGAATAGACACTCAAATGGGCCCTGTTCCCAAGACTTGATTATTGTATTAGGAAATTTTTCCACCACAACTTAATCAGAAATTCTCCTATTGTCACTTGCATCTGCTGTCTCTAACCCTACCTGCACCTCTGACAAGAGTCTGGTCCTGTCTCCTCTGAATCCTCCTTGTAGGTAGCTGAAGAGAGCAGTAAAACCCAGTTCTATCAGCTTCTTGACCACTATGTGCTTCAGCCAGCTGATCATACCAGGGGCCTCACTCTAACATGTTACTTTTTTCTAGTGGGGAGTTGGACTGTACTCCAAAGGCACTGTAATCCAAATGCAGCCTTGCAAGCGCTGAGCAAAGGTAAGAATCACTGTCCTCAGTCTGCTGGCTACATCCTCATTAGCACAGCCCAGTACAGGGGTGGCTGTCTTCCTTGGAGGGGCAAGTCTCAGCTGGTCTGAGCCTCTTTTATACGTGGAGCTGTTTTCCATCTGATCAGCAGCCAGGCCTGTGCCACTGCATGACATATTCTGTTCCAAGTGCAAGACTCTGCAGGTCCTGCAAATGCTGAGCCTGTAAAGGTGCCCATGACAAAGAGAACCTTGAGGGCCCCAGAAGGTCTGTTCAGCCCCTGCTGAAACCTGCAGGCAGTATCTTCACTGTCATGGGATCCCTAAGTGCTAGGCAGACAGGTGTACCAACATTACGCCCTGTGTGCACTGAGAGAAGGTGCCACATTTAAAGTTGGTCTAACTAAAATTATTTTATAAAATAGTCATAGAAGTAAACCCTCCCTCTCTGCAGCCCAACATGTACCTTCTCCACCTCATGACATTCAGACTTGTGAAGACTTGTGAGAAAAATTAAAATTAGTAACTGCTACTATAAATTTCCTTCTATTGTAGGCTTCCTGACACTAAATGACATTTAAAATCTATCCTAAGCGAATAAGAGTAATTCTAAAACCTTTTCCTCGCTATTTCCAAAAGCCCCCGTGTTTGTACAGCTTAGTCACCCCCTTACACAACTGACCTTTTTTGTTATGATGATGATAATATTTAATAATTTAAAAGACCAATAAAGACGGTACCCACGGACGAGCCCCCAGCGCAGGGTACCCGGGGAGCAGGAGCCCTGCCGCTGCCGGAGAGCAAGAGGGGCAGTCATGGCGGCCGCAACAGCCATCCTGCTCCGGCCCCGCGTTCTCACCCCCCACCCACTGCCGGCTCCCAGACTCGAGTCCTCTCCCACAAACCCGGCAGCGTTCACCGCCGCGCACACCCGGGGACTCAAGCTCTGCGACCCCGGCCCGGCTTGGCGCTGCCCCTGAGGGGAGGCGCCTCTCCTTCACCGTGCTCGGTCCCTCACCGCGCCACCTGCTCCAGCCGCGGCTACCAGAGCGCTGCCCCGCACGCTCCGCACCGCCTGGCCCCGCCGCACCCGGGCCCGTAACTTCTCGCCATAGAGCGCGCAGCCCGGACCCTCCACCATGGCCGCAGGATACCGCCAGGCCCAGCCCGCCTCTTCTCTTCAAATCTGCCGCTCGCTTGGGGGCGGTGCTGCCTCGCCGGGCCCGCCCCCGCCGGGTGGGCGCTGGCCCGTACAGCGGGGAAGGTGGGAACGCTTACGGTCCCTGGGGAGTTCAGGCCCAGACTGACAGAAGGAAACCCCGCCCCGACGGGCTCCGCGGGCAGGCGGGCCGCGGCCGCGGCTGCTGGCTAGGTGAGAGTGGCGCGGTGTGGGTGGGTATGGCTGCCGTCGTCGGACCGAAGAGGTCCGTGAGGCAAGCGTGGCCTAACCCACCGCATAGTTCTTTTCCAGTGTCGCCCAACTGGGGTTTTAAGCTTAGAGGGCCCTTTGTGTGCACGGGAACGCCAATCAAAGAGCATTGTTCTGTGAGACACTTAAGGGAAGGCACGGTATCTTCATTTTGTTCTTAAGTGTGAACTTCTAATGCCCTCCGATACCTAATCAGCTATTACAGGCTTTCTGGTATTTAAACCGCTCTTAAAGTACACCTTCTTTCAAGACTTCCTTAATGCACAGCTGGAAGTTTCAGCCTTATAAAGTCCCTATTTAATAGGTTTTTGCACTCAGTCCACGTTTACACAAGGTAAATGCTTCCTTCCCTGCTTCATTTGAAGTAAGAATAGACATCATAAACTCCACAAGCTCTTAACAAAATTGAGGGAACTTGCATTTGAGGGTAGAACATTAGATGCAATTTCCTGACGTCCACCTCATGAGGCATACTCAGAATGTCTCAACTAATACTATTTGTTACATAAACACTGCATATCCAATCTGTTATCTGGGTTCAATCTAAATGCATTTATTCCTAAAAGAATAAATCTCATTTTTTCCTGTAAGGAAGTGACTATATGAGGTTGAAGTAATTATGTTTGCTGAAATAAAACTGTGAATGCAGGTGTGCTACTAGACTATGCTACCCTTTGTTACAAATGCCTTTTTTCTTTTTCGCAGTGATGTTTTTGCTGTGATCTTTCTAGATCAAAACAACAAGGCAGTCGTTAGCCAGAGAATTAAGCTCACTCATCAGAGAGCAGAAATCACCAATGTTCCAATATCGTATGTGAAACTCAGACTGATTTTTCTGCTGCCCTTGAGTCCTGCCTTACTGTTCTTCCAACACAGAAATTAATGCATAACTTGGGTTTCTGTATTCATATGTAGGCACCTTAAAAGTACAGAGAATAACAATTTCTGTTACTTGACTATCAAATGTAATGTTTTTCATGATAAGGGATTTTATAACTGGATATTTTTCAGTAGATGGTTTGTGCAGTGTGTTACAACAGATTGGGTTTTCAATTCCACATCTAATTCTGCAGGTGCATCAGAAGCTCAAATACTATCCATTTGTTATGGTTCTCTAGCCCTTTATCCACTCATGTAAACAATAAATTTTAACTAGAGATTCCACAATAATTCTCCTTTTGTATGCACTTTTATTCCTCTAAAAGTTGATTTCCAGGTACATACAAGCTGTCACTGGTGAGCATTATATTATAGCATTTGGTGGTGGTTGGTAAATATTTGTGTGTTTGCTTTAATAAAAGCTTTTAAGAATACATTTGAAGCAAAAAGAGAGGTAATAGCACTGTAAGAGACATATCACTGTTTTGCACTTTGAAACAAATGCCCAATGCTGAACTCAAAATCAGGGTATTTTTAGGTAAAAGTGCCTAAAAGCAGCTGAATCTTAGAATCATAGAATCATACAATAGTTAGGGTTGGAAAGGACCTTAAGATCATCAAGTTCCAACCCCCCTGCAATGGGCAGGGACACCTCACACTAAATCATATCACCCAAGGCCTCGTCCAACCTGGCCTTGAACACTGCCAGGGATGGAGCATTCACAACCTCCTTGGGCAACCTATTCCAGTGCCTCACCACCCTAACAGGAAAGAATTTCCTCCTTATATCCAATCTAAACTTCCCCTGTTTAAGTTTTAACGCATTACCTCTTGTCCTATCACTGTAGTCCCTAATGAAGAGTCCATCCCCAGCATCCCTATAGGCCCCCTTCAGATACTGGAAGGCTGCGATGAGATCTCCACACAGCCTTCTCTTCTTCAGGCTGAACAGTCCCAACTTTCTCAGCCGATCTTCATACAGGAGGTGCTCCAGTCCCCTGATCATTCTCGTGGCCCTCCTCTGGACTTGTTCCAACAGATCCATGTCCTTTTTATGTTGAGGACACCAGAACCGTACACAATACTCCAAGTGATGTCTCACGAGAGCAGAATAAAGGGGCAGGATCACCTCCTTTGACCTGCTGGCCACACTCCTTTTAATGCAGCCCAGGATACGGTTGGCTTTCTCGGCTGCAAGTGCACACTGCTGGCTCATGTTCATTTTCTCTTCGACCAGCACCCCCAAGTCCTCCGCAGGGCTGCTCTGAATGTCTTCTCTGCCCAGCCTGTAGCTGTGTCTGGGATTGCTCTGACCCAGGTGTAGGACCTTGCACTTGTCATGGTTAAACTTCATGAGGTTGGCATCAGCCCACATCACAAGCGTCTCAAGGTCCCTCTGGATGGCATTCCTTCCCTCCAGCGTATCAAGCGAACCACACAGCTTGGTGTCATCGGCAAACTTGCTGAGGGTGCACTCAATCCCACTGTCCATGTCAGTGACGAAGATGTTAAGGAACAGTTGTTGGTCAGAACTGTTGCTGATACAGTTTTTTAATTATATAGTAGTACAGCCAAGACAGAAACACGCAACTGTGTTTTCAGTGTTCCAAGTAGAATAATCTTAGGGGGCCTATATGTCTGCTGGGGAGGGACTCTTCATTAGTGACTGTAGTGGTAGGAGAAGGAGTAGTGGGTTAAAACTTAAACAGGGGAAGTTTAGATTGGATATAAGGAGGAAATTCTTTCCTGTTAGGGTGGTGAGGCACTGGAATGGGTTGCCCAGGGAGGTTGTGAATGCTTCATCCCTGGCAGTGTTCAAGGCCAGGTTGGACGAGGCCTTGGGCAATACGGTTTAGAGCAAGGTGTCCCTGCCCATGGCAGGGGGGTTGGAACTTGATGATCTTAAGGTCCTTTCCAACCCTAACTATTCTATGATTCTATTCTGTTTTAGCTGCTTTTGTGGCAGTCATTCCTTGAGTCAGGAAACCTCAGTTGCTGCCATTCAGTTTCAACATTACAGTTCACTACAGGCTACAAGGGAAGAAATTCTGTTAGGATGCAGGTTTTAAAAGGAGGCTGATAGATTGCTTACAAAATAAAAGCTTTCATTAGATTTATTTCAGGGTTCTTTATTAAATAACATTTCTTGGCAGGTAGTTCCATCAATAGTTGTTCACACCTTATTTTGACTTTGAAAAATCCAGTGTCCACAAGAAATAATCTCTCCTGCAGGTAATTAAATGTGCAAATTTCAAGAACAAACAAGCAAATAAATCTCACTTGAGTATAAGTTTAACATTTGACTATTTTTTACTTCCTGTCTGCTGTTGGATCAAAAAAATCATAGCACTCTACTGTACTATGATAATTGATACAGCAAATAATGTCAGGTTACCTGCAGTGAAAGGTAACATCTGTTTTTAAAACAGAAATTGAGTAAATCTACATATGCTCATAAATTTGTCCTGTTATTGTAGCTGTGTGCACAGCTGCCTCTGTTATTTTTCCCACTGGTGTTCTCAGGCACCATTTCTTGATTTGATTGTGCATTTGCAATATTTACATTCAGTCAATGACATACAGTGTCACAGTGTGCTCTGGACAGGACACATATTTTTGCTGACATACCTGGGAAGTTATTGCAGTTGTGATATCAATAGGAAAAAAACCTCAAACATATTTTTTTCAAAAAATTCAGATTTTCCAGAATTATGAAAAGAATACAATCCTTTATTGCATTTTCCAGAATTCATATGAAAGCCCTGCTTCCCTCCCTTGTTGTATTTGGCATGAAATTGCAAGAGTAGAGCTACAAAAATCCAGTTGCTCAAACTCTTTGTTCTGTGTGGAATTCCTCCCTTGGATTAATGTGTTAGTCTTAGAGCATTGGTGCACAGTTAAATTTTCAGTTAACAAATATTTGACAAAAAGATGTTGGCAAGGAATATTATCCTATGGCAAATATAGACTAATTTAAATGGAGTATCATTTTAGACCAAGTGGCAAAGTTAGATTTTTCTGAAGGCAACACAAGAGAACAGAAAAATGCAGAATACAAGCACACACTGTTATCCTAATCCAATGGTCTGAAGAACAATATCAGCATTGAGACTCTTGCTCAAGGCATATTTTTTTTTTCTTTTGGCTGGTTGAAATATACAGTGAACTACAAAGACATTCCCTTTATGGTGGCAAAATCTTGGATAAGAATTAAGAAGCAGTGGATGAATGATCTGTTTCATGGTTGCCTGGAGAGTTAATGTGAACAGTTAAGCACACTCAAATTTGCTCATCGTGTAATCCTAATGAAATCCTTCCTAACCCTTATAAAAACATTCCCAAATCCTTCAAAATGAAGTCTCTTAATGCAATTAATCCGAATAGTTGCAGTGTTCAGGGAATGCGTTCTGGTTCTGAATTCCTGGTCTCCCAGTGATTTTTGAAGGTCATGCATAGTTTATATGGATGCATCGTTAAACCACTTTTTGTCAGTTACCTCAAAATAAATAATGCCTTGAGTGCTGGGATACTTTTTTGGTGTAAAACTCTTACTTTACATTACAAAACATGTACCATTATAACTTTGTTTTTTTTTAAAAGCTGCAGTTATCGTAAAGATACAGACCAAGGAAATTCTATGGAAATTGAAGTAAAGTGTCAATATGAAATTATGTACTAAGTTGTGAATAACAGTTTTAGTGTAGGAGTTTCTCACATATATTTCAGTGTTGAAGCCACAATAAAATGCTGCAACTCACATACCCTTCTTACTGAACATGGAGTATGTGTTAAAAATACTTATAATTAATGGATTAATGGAGTAAAATGGGTAGTTGAAACAGTGGTACCATCCTAATT